GAGATGCAAAGGCTGCCTGGGGGGCTGCACACAGCCCTGCACCTGGCAGCGCTGTCCCCGGGAGCAGGTGCTGCCTTGAGGGTGCAGGCCTGCCCATGTGGGGCACTCCAGAGTCTGTGCGCGGGCATGTCCTTGTCCACTGCCTCCTTCCAGCAGTGGCTGGTGATGGGAGAGCTGCAGACGTGTGGGCGGCCTCCCCAGAGCCTGTGAGCAGGAGCCCTGGGGTGCTCTGGGGCTGCCTCCTGGGGTTGCGTGGTGCAGACTGACGCTGAATGTGCACCCATGTGCACCGACGGCAGCACAAGTACCAGGCTGAGCAGCCCGAGCAACAATCATACCCCAGCCCCTCAGCGCCCACCACCCCCACCCTGCGTGTGAGAAAAACTAAGAGCACTGATCTGTGGATCTCTCCTTGGCCACAGAGGATACCTGGGACATATCCAGGCCCTCGGGTACCGGCTCCAAAGTGAGCGGGGTGAGGGTGCTCACCATTCCCTCCACCTTATGGGCTGTGGCCCCGGGTGGGTGATGACAGGTTTTTCCAGCCCCGAGTCCACCACCAGGGGTGGGGAAGGGGCTGCATCACCCCCCAGGATGCAATGCAGGTCGTCAAAATAGGGGCAGGAGTGGGATCCAGCCCCGGTGCGTGAGCTGCACTTCCTCGCGCTGGAAGAGGCCTGCCGCAGCTTTCACTTCACTGCGGTCCTGCTCCAGAGTCCTGGTATGGCCCTTTGTGGCCAGGCTCTAGGCCCGTGGTCACCAACTCGTCGATCGGGATCGATGGGTCCATCAGGAAGGCCTCACCAGTCAATTGTGAGGCATTTGGGGCCCCCTCTTTCCCCCCACCCCCAAGAAGCCCCACTAACGCTACCTCCAGTAGCTCCAGTTTCCTGCGGGGTGGATGGAAGCACCCAAAGATGCCACAGGGCTACTCATTGTTTTTAAAGTTGCAGACTAACATGGCTGCCCCTCTGAGATGTTTCTCCATCCCAACCTTCCAAGGTAACACCAAATATTTGTTGGCCGTGTGTTGTTACCGAGAAGTTTCTTAACGAGGTGTTCTGTTACGACCCTTATGAAATGTGCTTACGGCCTGTGCCTAGCTCTGTGAGGAGGGACTACCTCTTGCTCACAGCTTAACTCTGCTTCACCATTGCTGTCTAGGCCTCAGGCTTCATACCCGGCCAGTGACACTTGGGTTTATGTTTCGGGCCCTCATTGTACTACAGGGAGCAGACTCTGAAGCCAGCTGAAGTCCATCACAGTTTGCTTCCCATCCCTTAAACACAATTTTCCTAGCTTCAGAACTCTCTCTTCCATGCTCGGCCCCCCCACTCCTGACATGTGGAAAAATGTCAAATTCAAGATGGCTTCCAGGTGCTTCCTGTGCTTCTAGGTAGCAGAGACACATGTCTTTGTAGGATTAACCACAAGTTTGGCTGCAGGCAAAACAAGGCCATTTACAGATCATTGTCCTACGCACCAGCCTATTAAGTAACTTAAGCACCAATAAATTGACGATCTAGATTAATAAAAAGATTTACACCTTATATTTCTAACTTCACATAAAAGAATGATACATACACAAATAGAACACACAAGCAGGTGGTTACAAGCTGTGGGATGAGATGTTACTAGCCCCGCTTTGCATTAAGCATAATTTGAGTTACGCATATTCATATTTTAAAACATATTTGCATACAAACAGGCTATGTCTAGACTGGCATGATTTTCCGCAAATGCTTTTAACAGAAAAGTTTTTCCATTAAAAGCATTTGCGGAAAAGAGCGTCTAGATTGGCACAGATGCTTATGCACAAAAGCACTTTTTGCAAAAAAGCATCCGTGCCAATCTAGACGCGGTTTTGCGCAAGAAAACCCCGATCGCCATTTTCGCCATTGGGGCTTTTTTGCACAAAACACTTTTTAGCTGTCTACACTGGCCCTCTTGCGCAAAAACATTTGCGCAAGAGGGCTTTTTCCCAAACGGGAGCAGCATAGTATTTGCACAATATCACTGACAATCTTACATTTGATTGTCAGTGTTCTTGCGCAAATTCAAGCGGCCCCTGTAGACAGCTGGCAAGTTTTCCACAAAAGCATTTGCTTTTGCAGAAAACTTGCCAGTCTAGAGGCAGCCACATGGGGCACAGTGTCACAGTCATCCCAACCTTCTGCCTGGTGCCTTGTAGGAGTTTGTGTTTCTGCAATAACAACCCGGACTTTACCAGGAAGTCTGTTTTTTTAATTGTGTCCAGCAGCCATGTAGGGGCCACAGATTTCAACCAGAATATCCAGTTGCAAAGAGGATCTCCCAGGGTCCAGATACTGTGGAGGAGGTAGAGGTCACTTAACTGACATCAGTCCCTGGTAGGCCGTGGCCACCTCCTACTGGCAGCAAGGATCCCTGTCCGGCTCCAGTAGCTCCCATCCGAGGCCTGGAGCAGAAAGGACACAGCGGGTGTGGGGACAATTCAGGGCTTACCAGCCGTAGGGGAGAAGAGTGAGCAGCAGGAGTGGGGACGTGAGGGGAGATGTGGACACGGCACCTGTATGGGAGGACAGGCCCTTAGGGAAGGACTGGGGCAGAAGCTGCGATCACAGAGCTCTAGTTTCCGGCGAATAGAAAGGTGGCAAACGTGCGAATTTTACAGAGTTGCATTCCCTATGTCGTCACCTTGATACTGTACTTTGCAAAGAATAAAGGTGTAAATCTCTTTCATTGCCCAGTCAAGATTCAGAGAGGAGGGCCCAGAATATCATAGAATCATAGAATCCCAGGGCTGGAAGAGACCTCAGGAGTCATCCAGTCCAGCCCCCTGCCCAAAACAGGACCAACCCAACTCAATCATCCCAGCCAGGGCTTTGACAAACCGACTTAAAAACCTCTAGCAATGGATGCATGCTCCTCCTAATGCACCCTAATATGCCATTCGCCTTCTTGGCTACAAGGGTACCCTGTTGACTCATATCCAGCTTCTCATCCACTGTAACCCCCAGGTCCTTTTCTGCCAAACTGCTACTTAGCCATTCAGTCCCAAGCCAATAACAATGCTTGGGATTCTTCCATCCCAATACTTTAATCTGTATAGGTCACTCTAGACCCTATCCCTGCTCTCCAGTGTATCTACCTCTCCCCCTAGCTTACTGTCATCTGCAAACTTGCTGAGGGGGCAACCCATCTCCTCATCCAGGTAATTAAAAAAGATGTTGAACAAAACCAGTCCTAGAACTGAAGCTTGGGGCACTCCACTATAAACTGACCGCCAACCTGACATCGAGCCGTTGATCACTACCGTTGGGCCCGACAGTCTAGCCACTTTTCTATACATATTGTGAGAGATCATATCAAAAGCTTTGCTAAAGTCAAGGTATATCACATCCACTGACTTCCCCATGTCCACAGAGCCAGTTACCTCATCCTAGAAGCTATCAGATTGGTCAGGCAGGACTTGCCCTCGGTGAATCCATGTTGACTATTCAACATTCCCCTGGCCAACTCTGCAGGCACCTTTCTCACACAGTGCCAGGACAATCAATTATTCTTTATGAGTAACAAGCCGGAGCACCCTGTCCCGGATCTGTTTGGTCCTCACCCCATAGATAATGGGGTTCAGCATCGAGGGCATTAGAACGTACATATGGGCAGTGAGAACATTGTAATACAAGGGCACGTTGTGGCCAAACCGGTGGGTGAGGAAGGAGAAGAGAGTTGGGATGTAAAAGGCTAAAAAGACACAGAGGTGGGAGACACAGGTCCCAAAAGTCTTAAGCCGGGCATCCTTGGTAGGGAGGCGGAAAATGGCCCTGAGGATCTGGATATATGACAGAGTGATAAAAAACACATCCAGACCCATCACAAAGAAAGTCACAGAGAGCCCATAGTAACTATTGACACGGATGTCAGCGCAGGCCAGCTTCACCACGGCCATGTGCTCACAATGCGTGTGGGGGATAATGTTGGTTCGGCAATATGGCCACTGCCTCGCCAGGATGGGGTAGAGCAGTGAGAGAACACCACCACGCAGCACCATGGCCAGGCCGATCTTGGCCACCATGTTGTTCGTCAGGATGGTGGAATGTCTCAGGGGATGGCAGATGGCCACGTAGCGATCCAAAGCCATGGCCACACAGATTCCAGCCTCTGTCTTTAAGAAGCAGTGAATGAAGAACATCTGAGTGAGGCAGGCATTGAAATCGATCTCCCTGGAATTGAACCAGAAGATGTTCAGCATCTTGGGCACAGTTGATGTGGACAGGACCAGGTCGGTGGCAGCCAGCATGCAGAGGAAATAGTACATGGGCACATGGAGACTTGGCTCCCTCTTCACTATGTATAGGATAATGAAGTTCCCCAAGAGGGCGATGGTGGAGATCCATGTATGGGCCGTCTCCAGGCCGGGAATGCCCAGCAGGATGAAGGTGGAGGGGTTGGTGAAGTCGGTTGTGTTGGGAAGTGACATGGACTAGCATAGAAGGTGCCCAACTCTGAGGTAAAATGGTGTCTCCAGCATGTACTTTCTATTCAAATGAACTCTTGCATGTGCCCAGAGTCCAGGGTGATGGTCCAGTAGCAACGTCTGGAAGGAGAGGTTCTGTTAATATGAGAAAACACAAGTACTAGTGGAGGTTGTTTACAAATGAGAATTTCATTATTCAGAGAAAAGAATGTGAATAACGGACCCTACTAATACCAATTCCATATCTGATAATGCTCAATGGCTAGGTGAATCCCACATGAGGACAAACAATAGGCCCTAGTAGGAAACACATTTCTGGATCCCCGTTACCCCTTCCTCTTCCTTAGTGCAGTGAAAGCCCAGTTAGTGAATCCAGACACTAGGGAGTTCCCCATTCACTTGCTTGCTTGTCATCTGAGAGTTGAAAACATTGAACCCTTCACTGAGATATGGCCAGGCAGAGACACCCCAACTCTACCGCAGCTCAGGGAAAACTCCTGATCCTCATGGACAGCCTCTCGATGGACACACCTCTCGGTGGACACACCTCTCAGTGGACACACCTCTCGGTGGACACATCCTCACCACCGAACAGGACAAACATGGACAACAGATGATACCAAACTGGGTGGGGTTGCGACTTCTTTGGAGGATAGGGACATAATTCAGAATGACCTTAGCAAGTTAGAGAAATGGTCGGAGGTAAACAGGATGAGGTTTAATAGAGAGAAATGCAAAGTGCTCCACTTAGGAAGGAACAATCAGTTCCATACATACAAGATGGGAAGCGACTGTCTAGGAAGGAGCATGGCGGAAAGGGATCTAGGGGTCATAGTGGACCACAAGTTGAATATGAGTCAACAGTGTGATGCTGTTGCAAAAAAAGCAAATATGATTCTAGGTTGTATTAACAGGTGTGTTGTAAGCAAAACTCGTGAAGTCATTCTGCCGCTCTACTCTGCGCTAGTTAGGCCTCAGCTGGAGTACTGTGTCCAGTTCTGGGCGCCACATTTCAAGAAAGATGTGGAGAAATTGGAAAGGGTACAGAGAAGAGCGACAAGAATGATTAAAGGTCTAGAGAAGCCTATGAAGCCAGGCTTCATGAACTGGGCTTGTTTAGTTTGGAAAAAAGAAGATTAAGGGGGGACATGATAGTGGTTTTCAAATATCTAAAAGGGTGTCACAAGGAGGAAGGAGAAAATTTGTTCCTCTTGGTTTCTGAGGACAGGACATGGAGTAATGGGCTTAAAGTGCAGCAGGGGAGGTTTAGATTGGACATTAGGAAAACATTCCTAACTGTCAGGGTGGTCAAATATTGGAATAAATTGCCAAGGGAGGTGGTGGAATCTCCCTCTCTGGAGATATTTAAGAACAGGTTAGATAGACATCTGTCAGGGATGGTGTAGACGGAGCTTGATCCTGCCTTGAGGGCGGGGGGCTGGACTCGATGACCTCTCGAGGTCCCTTCCAGTCCTATTATTCTATGATTCTATGATTCTATGATTCTATAACATGTAGCTGCTTAAGGATGTGGACATGCTCTCAGTTTGGGTCAGCCAGTTTCTATGGATAATGGAGCTGTCAGAAAATGGGTTTCCAAGACAGGCTACTAGAATGGGAGAAGCTGCTGCCCACAGACCGAGGGGAAAATCTCAGTCTGTTCAGTTGAGACGAAAGACAAAGAAGGGAGCATTTGAGGGAGGAGATGAAAATGAGGCAGAACCTGATTACATACAAATGAGCAAACGAAGAAGAACGCCCAACCAGTAATGTCTGTGTAACTTAGATATTGACCAGAGCTGAAGTAAATTATCAGCAAAACTGATTGGAAGGTAAAAATTAGATGGAAAAATGGGAGTGAAATTTGGAGTTGATCAGGAACAAATTAACATAGTGAGGAAGTCATAACTCAAGAGGGAAGAGAAATTTGGACAAAACCCTCTTCAGTGGCAAAGAGAAGGTAACCATTGAGTTGAAAACCAGCAATACATAACAAATGAGAAAAAGGAAAAACAGACCCAAGCGATACAAATTGGAAGTCATGAAATTGATAATGGGCATTAAAGAAATCAGAGAAAACATATAGCAGACCTGAGGATAATGAAAAAAGGGGTTATTAAGTATAATAAGATAACAGAACTCCTAGAATATATTACACCTATTCCAAGAGATTGACAGAAAGCCTGTTAATGTTATAGAAAAAGTGGGTGTTTTCAAGAAGTGCTTTTGTTCTGCATTTCAAGCAAAGCAGTATGAGGTACTCACTTAATCTACCGTATTTTCCGGCGTATAAGGCGACTGGGCGTATAAGATGACCCCCTAATTTTCTAGTTAAAAATTTTCTAGTAAAAAGCCGTATAAGACTACCCCCCCCTTAAGAGGCCAACCAGCAGTGCCCCAGCTGCTCTGCCCCAAGGTCCACAACAAAAGCCTGGTCTGCTGGGGGGGGGGGCCTAGCTGCACCCCTCCAGCAGACCAGGGACACAGGGAGCAAAGCCGCAGCCGCGGCGTGGTCCCGTGCCTCTGAGGCTTTGCCAGAGCAAAGCCTCAGAGGCACAGGACCCCTCCGCCTCCCTGGCTTTGCTCCCTG